GGAATTCTGGGAGTTGAAGTCCACAAGTCTTAAAGTTGCCAAGGTTGGACACCCCTGCCTTAAACCATGTGAAACCACAACAATGAAATTGAGTCATTTTGCCCCTGAATTTTGGCCTGCATGATTAAAGCAGCAGTCCAAAAACTGGGAGATCATAAATTCTAATCCCACCCCAGACATGAACCCAGGTGGGATTTCTGGGGAAGAAATGGCAAACTGAAGACAGGTCTGCTAAAAACAGAGCTGACAACTGCGGCAGAATTAAGACTCAGTGAGTAGACCAACACTTCGTGATTCCTCTCCAGACAAGGAGAGCACCTGAAATCACCCTCAAATGCTCCAGACAGTTGCTCTTCACAGAAACAGTGGTCTCCAGTGGGCTTAGAGCTCTGGGAGATGAGGGAATAGCCATCTTGCTCAGATCACAGTTGCGCCTTTGAAAGGACACTGGGTTCACTTACTTCCTTTTCTAATGCCTTTTGGTTGCTAATTAATTGGTTCAGCTGCTGGGAACTTTTGGATTGATATGTTTTATAGCAGGGGTCCCCAACCGCCGGTCCGCGGACCGGTACCGGTCCGCGGAACAAGTCTTACCGGGCCGCTGGTTGCTGGGCGCCGCCATCTTTTTTTGATAAAAAAGTGCTTCGGGTGAGCTTTTCCGGGTAGAAAGTCATTTCTACCCGAAAAAGCTCACCGGAAGCGCTGGCGCCGCCATCTTTTTTGATGAAAAAGTGCTTCCAGTGAGGTCACCGGAAGCACTTTTTCGTCAAAAAAATATGGCGGCGCCCAGTTGATGCCGGTACCGGGCCGCGGCGCCCAGCTGATGCCGGTACCGGGCCGCGGCATAAAAAAGGTTGGGGATCACTGTTTTATAGCATTGGTTTCCTTCAATCCTTAGTGAAAGAAAATTTAAATACAAATTTAAGAACAAAAAACAATCTTTTTATTTAAATAAAACAGCAAAAAAGTGATTAGAATTTTGATTTTGAAAATGGATTTGAAATAAGATTTTGGAATTGTAAGAATCCTTTCCATGGGCAAATGCTTTTGTTTTGAATTCTTTCTTTAAAAAAAATATAGGATGGGGCTTTGAAGTTTGGATACCAGAGGAACTTGAAGGAACTAAAGATTATAATTAAAGAACACTTAAATTTCACGTATTAATACAGAAATGAGCTAAATATTTTAACATTCTACATATTGAGGGATATTTTTTTAACACTGACTTCAGAAGTTAATTTTAAGACTATCTGCCTCTATAGATAGACTTGTGTTTAAAAGATGTTATGGAAGAAGAACAAGTTTTACTGGAGAAGCCTGAGGATGATCTGAAAGTAGATTTAAAAATGACAGGCTACAAGGATGATATGGAAAAACATGCTAAACTGGACATACAAAATAAACTGACTTATGTATTAATAATTAAAAGGGATATACAAATTAGAAACCAAGAGAGTGACCTGGATAACAAAAGAAGCTTGTTAAAGTTTTGAAGAATTTGTGAGAAGAGACAAAGAAAAAATGAAAATGAATCAAGTTCTAGGACATTATTTGAAGGAATTAAAGAGCAAGATTGTAAAAATAAAAGGAAGGAATATAAAGTTAGTTTATTTTATCAAGATTAAAATAAATATGTTTCTATCTCTGGTAACCCTTTTGCTGACTGGAACTAAAATGATGAACTTTTAAGGATTTGTTTACAGATAAAAGATGGGATATGGGAAGAAAAGTTCATTTGTTGTATTTTAAAACAATATGTTAATTTACTAAAATTGTTTATATTTGTGATGAAGTCATTTCTTTTAAAATTTTAGTTTTTTCTTTATTATAGTCTTTTTCTTTTCTATTTTTTTCTTTACTGCACTTTCTATTTTTTCATTTTATTATTTTATTTTCTAATTTGTATTATAGTTTTTGTCATTCATAATAAAATTATTATTAAATTTAAAAAATTAGGCATGAACCCAGTTGGATGACTTTGGGTCAGTCACTCACTCTCAGCTCTAACAAGGAGATAATGGCAAACCATTTCTGAAATCTTGTCAGGAAAACTGCAGGGATTTGTCCAGTCAGTTGCTCAGAGTCAACACTGATTCAAAGGTACAAAAATGATAAAACAAGTATTATAGTTGGGCATAGTTAACACAGAAGTGATATTGGGAGATAAATTATTATTCCACATGAAAGAAAGTGACTAGCCCAAGCACACTCTGTTGGCTTGTGTATAAGGTGAGACTAGAACTCATGATCCCCTGGTTTCTAGCATGATGCCCTAACCACTACATCAAAATGGCTCTTATATATAGTCCCAGTGTATGCATGTTTGTGTGTGTGTGTGTGTGCATGTGTGTTGTGTGTGTATATATATATATATGGTATTCAGCTTTTTCGGATATTTTCCCATGTCATTATAGTTGTGCTTTTAAAGTTGTAGCAATGTTTAAAAGCACAACTATAATGACGTGGGAAAATACCCGAACAAAGCTGAATACCATACATGTAAGTACCTGCGAAAACTTAAGAAAACACACACACACACACATATATATACACATACACAGTATGTGTATCTATCTATATCTATATCTATACACACACACACACACACTGTATATATACACATATACATACATATGTATGTGTACACACACACAGATATATATAGGGGAGAGAGAGAGAGAGAGATTTGTGTATGTGTGTGTAGTTTAGCCACTACATCAAATTGACTCTGTTGTCTCTCCTTCCCTTGTGTTACTCTCATGAAGCAGTAGCGAGGAGAGTTTGCTAACAATGGTAGAGCAGCAAATGGTAGAATAATAATGAATGTGGCCTCACCATAGCCTGCTGATTTACTGTTCTCAGAAGCAAAGTAAATTCCCTTGCCAACACGGCCACCGGAATGGGGCATGATGCGCAAGCCACTCTTCAGGATGGCAGCAACGACAGCTATGTTGGTCCCATGCCAGAGTAGGCGCCGATTTCCCAAGTGGTCATGAGTCTTAAAACGATGGCTCTGTTTTGGAAATGAAACAAGAGAACCGAGCATGTAACATCTTTGCTCCTATTCAAGTCATATTTGAATAAAGGAAAGGTAGAAAGCCAAACATGGCTTTCCCATGTCAGTCTGCTGTTGAACTGCAGACTCATCTGCACACTTGATGGTCATCCCCAATGTATATATAGAGAGAGTTTTGCTACTGCATAAAAGAACAAGATTCCTAAATAGTAAATGGCCTTGTTTTTATTCTGCCAATGGATACATATAGTTCTTTAAAGTCTTGATGTCTCACAATCAAAAGTGGTCTTATTATCTACCTGATAACCACCACCCCCACCAAAAAAAAAAGTCTTAGGAGCTAGATCTGGTCAGATGGATTGCAGCGCTTTTGATCTCAATCATTCTTTTGGTATCTCAAAAATATTTGTGCCTCAATTGGCACATGCCCTGAGAATCAGAATTACCAGGAGTAAAGAAATATGGCCTTAGTTTTTTTGTATCAGTTCCGATTATATGTTCCTATGGGCAATCTTCCCCAACCTGGTACCCTTTAGATGGGCTGGAGCAACTCTGATTCCTTCAGCCAACATGATCTTAAGGTAGAAAGAAACAAATCTCAGCCCTCGAACAGACCGGAGAAAGAGATATTCCTCTTTGACCTTACCTCACCCTCTCTGTTGACCTTCCAAATATTCATGATACGAAGCTTTTGGTAAGGGGAGCTTGTCTGCTTCACATAGGTTTCAATCAGCTAGTAGGGTAGAGAGGAAGAGAAGTAAAGAAAGAAAGTGAACATCAAAGAACTGAGATAAATTGGAGAGTTATTGCTAGCTGTAGAAGAGGCTATTCCACGTGTTGTCCTTTGTCCTTTATTCATGTGTTCCTGTATTGTCCAGTCTCAGCTGTTTGAGTATTTAAAGCAAATAAGAAACAACTTGTAGGGCCATCTTACCTTATAGTCCTCAGATGATGAATCCACTAAGGTGAGTTCACATTTCAAAAGCCCATAGTCCTTGTCCAGGGGGTGCAGAACTTCTTTCACCATTTCCTTCTCTTCCTCTTCCTCCTCCTCCTTCTTTTGAGCTTGTAAACTCTGGGCCAGTTCAATATCTGCTAGGACCTACCAATAAAGTAAACCAGTCATCACCAACACTGGGGTGCAGTTGAGATGCAGATGGAAGCAGTAATCTCACATTTGGGCTGTTATCCTGCATCCATTTCCAGAACAGCCAGTCCTACTGAAACTAAGAGGGCAATTGTTTGGAATAAACACATTTAGGAACACACTACCAGCAATGAATTGAACTAGTTGAATGCATGCATCTGCTGGCTTGAAAAGAATAACAACAAACTTCTTTTTTAATTCAAAATTATGTTTTAGGTATTAGATTTATATCCCATGTTTCCTCAAGTATACAGCACTCCTTCCTCCAAATTTTCTTCAGCACAATCTGTCAGGTAAGTAGGGCTAAGAACTAGTGAGGTTTTATGCCTGAGAGTAGACTTCAACTTGGATTTCTTAGTACTAGTCCAATTTCTTAACCATCTATTATCTTGATCCTATACTGTAGAGGTATAGATATATAATCTACAGCTCCGTGGCAAAATGTTTCATTAATTAAGCATCTAGCTGAAGAGTCTTATCATTTGAGAAAGGCAAGGCCAAAAAGTTGGCTTTTTTGTTCAGGCTGTTTTGTCTTTATGTGTCTACAAACTTCAAGTGATACAGTAGCTTTCTCTTCCATTATAAAGCACGTCAGGCTATGTTATTACCACTGACCTAGATATGTCCAAGGACAATTATTAGAAAGTGCTCATCTTATTCAACATTATATTTCTCTTTTTTAATTTAGGGCTAATATGGACACAAACAGGCTACGATACATGAGATAGAAGGGTGTGAAATACTAGAGCTGTATTTCACAGGATGATTACATTCTTATCCTTTAAAGAAAAAATTCTTCTGTGGTTAAGAAGCCTTTTGAAAAATGTGGTTTTTGTTTCACAATCAAGAACTACAGAAACATAGTGGTGATGAGATGTTGCCCTTGGAGAAGACAGGGCCAGAATTATCGCCTTTTTTTTCAATTTGGGAGTGCTTTAGTTGGTGTTAGGTGTCTAGGGTGTTATTTATGCTTTAATTACAGTAAAATATAGTAAAATACAGGTATACAGATAATCAGAGTTGGAAGAGACCTTATAGGTCTTCTAGTCCAACCCACTGCCCAAGTGGGAGACCCGACACCATTTCTGACAAATGGCAGTCCAATCTCTTCTTGAAAGTCTCAAGTGATGGCGCTCCCACAACTTCCGAGGGCAAGCTGTTCCATTGGTTGATTGTTCTCACTGAACAAAGTTTCTCCTTATTTCCAGGTTGAATCTCACCTTGTTCAGTTTCCATCCATTATTCCTTGTCTGGCCTCCAGGCGCTTTAGAAAATAGATTGACCCCTTCCTCTCTATGGCAGCCCCTTTGTGGAAACCCTTGACTTACAATAACAGTTGAGTCCAACATTAATGTTGTTAAATGAAAGATTTGTTAAGTGAGCTTTGTTCCATTTTACGACTTTCCTTGCCACATTTGTTAAGTGAATCAGTGCAGTTGTTAAACTAGTAACATGGTTGTTAAGTGAATCTACTCTTCCCCATAGACTTTGCTTGCCAGAAAGATGCAATCGATGGTCACATGACCCCAGAACACTGCAACCATCATAAATAGAAACCAGTTGTCAAGCATCCGAATGTAAATCATGTGACAATGGGGATGCTGCAACGGTCATAAGTGGGGAAAATGGTCAGAAGTCACTTTTTCAGTGCCATTGTAACTTCGAATGGTCACTGTTGTAAGTTGAGGACTACCTGTAGTATGCTTTTTTAAAAATTACCAGAAATTGGTAGAAAAGCATACTATCCTTTAATATGTTGAATTTCAGCTGTGTGATTATAGAGGAACTTGAGGGCAATCACAAAGGAGTTAAAAGATTGAACGAAGGATTGCCCACCTCTTTTTAAAAGCATAATATAGAGTATGATGTTTACAGCCACAAAGAAGCCCATTTGTTACTCATTTCAGTTCTCTGGTTTTGTCAGCTAGCTTGGGCATCCCAAGCCAACCAATGGCTGCCAGGAGAGGTTAATAAAGATAATGCAAAACTGTCATCAATGTATTGAGTATCACAGCTTAACCACATAAAATTTGGATAGAAATCTTCCTGACTGACAATTCAAAACATGATAAAAACTGAAGGTTGGTCCCGTTCTGAGAACTCCTTACCAGAAGCATATCCTTCTTAGCTTGGACAACTTCTTGTGTGTTGATGGATGGAGGCCGACTACGACCAAAGTTGTGGGGAATAATGGTATAAAAGCGGGATGAAAGTTCCTCCAGTTGCTTCTGGGAAGGTCGTTGCTTCTTTAGAGCTTCTTCAAGAGTTTCCAAAGCCTCAAAGCCTTTGGCAATCTGCTGTTTGCTCAGCTTTCCCAGTGGCATCTTCTTCACATCTGACAAACACAAGAAATTGCCATACTGATCAATCTAACACTTCCAGGATATTTACAAGTCAGTGGCTAAAGCCATCAGGATTAGAATACCATCTGCAATTGAAATCTGTGCCCTTTATAGTACACTGAGCATTAACAGTGATTTCCAAGTTGGACATCATATGTGAAGAAAGCCAAGAGAAGAATCTGCGCCACAGTGGCGCAGTGGTTAGAGTGAGGTACTGCAGGCTACTTCTGCTAACTGCCGGCTGCCTGCAATTTGGCAGTTCAAATCTCACCAGGCTCAAGGTTGACTCAGCCGTCCATCCTTCCAAGGTGGGTAAAATAAGGACCTAAATTGTGTTTTTTTTTTTAATTTTATTCTTTAAAAACAAAAAATACAAAAATCTCATTTCCATTAACAGTTATTGTGTCATTGCATATACATGTTTCTTATTTTGTGACTATACATTATTTTTATCCTTATCCTTCACCCATTCGTACCACCTCTCCCATGTCGCATATTCTCTATCCTCTTTGCCTTTCAGTTCCATAGTGAATTTATCTAGTTCAGCACAGTCCATTATTTTTTGAATCAAAACTTCATCTGGTGGTATTTTATCACTCTTCCAGTTTTGTGCTAACGTGATTCTTGCTGCAGTTAAGATGTGTACAATAAGGTATCTTTTATCTTTACTCAAATTCCCTTTAGTCATACCTAATAAAAATGTTTCGGATTCCAATTTTAATTTATATTTTGTAATCTCAAAAAGCCATCTCTGTATTTTCTTCCAGTATTTTTTGACCTCTATATATTGCCACCATATGGAAAAACGTTCCTTTCTTTTGTTTGCACTTCCAGCATTCTGGTTTCAAGGTTGGATACATTTTCGCCAGTCGTGCTGGCGCTAAGTGCCATCTACAAAACATTTTATATTGATTTTCTTTGAATGCCGTCAACAAAGTCAGCTTCCAGTTCTCGGTCCAAGTCTTTTCCCACTCATCCAAATTTATATTATGACCCACATTTCTCGTCCAGGCAATCATTGGTCCCTTAACAATTTCCTCTTCTAGTTCTACCTCCAGTAAATAATTATATGTTCGTGTTATAAATTTTATATCCTTGCCTGTCAAGATTTGGTCCAATTTTTGTAAATCTTTATCTATCCCTAGCTCCTTTACATCTTTCTTAAATTTAGCTTGAATTTGCAAATATACCCACCAGTCTAATATTATCCCTTGTTCTTTTAGTTTATCCAGTGTTTTTAATTCCCCCTGTTCATCTACCAATTCTTTATATCTAATCATTTTTTTAATGTCCCTTGTATTTGAATATAATATAGCTTCCGTAGGTGAGATCCAGTTTGGTCTTTTCAAATAATGCTTTTTTAAAATTTTCTCCCATGTTTGTAAAAGTAAGTCCCTTATCAAATGTCTATGGAAATAGGAGTGGATCTTATTCTTTTTATCCCATAGAAAGGCATGCCATCCAATTTGGAGGTCATGACCTTCTATCGCCAAAATTCTTTTATTTTTTTTTTAAGTTTATCCACTCCTTAACCCATTGTAAAATTGCTGCTTGATAATATGTTTCCCATTTTGGGAGTCCAAGGCCGCCTCTGGTTCTACTATCTTGTAACGTTTTCAATTTTATTCGTGCTTTTTTCCACATCCATATAAATTTCATTACCGTCCTATCTAATTCCTGAAAAAAATTGTTATCCAATTTTATAGGTATTGTTTGAAAATAGTATAATAGTTTTGGTAGTATGTTCATTTTTATGGCCGCTATTTGGCCTAATAGTGATAGTTGTAATTTTCCCCAATTGGCCAGATCTTTCTTTATTTGTGAAAGTAGTTTCATATAATTATCCTCTTTTATGGAAGAGCATCTTCCTGTTAACCAAATTCCTAGATATTTAAGTTGTTTGACACTTTGTAATCCCAATTTCCTTTCCAATTCTTTTTTTTTTTTTTACTTTCTATCAAGTTTTTGGTTATTACTTTTGTTTTATCTTTATTAATTTTTAGTCCTGCTACCGCCCCATATTCTTCTAATTCTTGAAATAGATAGGTCCCTGAATTCATTGGATCTTCCACAAAAAACATTGTTGTCCGCAAATGCCTGTACTTTATATTCTTTTTTGCTCTTCAGTCCAATTATCTCCTTTCTTTGTCTAATCTGATTTAAAAGCACTTCAATGGTCAAGATAAAAAGCAGAGGCGACATTGGACATCCCTGCCTAACACCTTTCATAATCTTAAAGTTTTTAGTAATTTCCCATTTATAATTACCCTAGCTTTTTGGTTCGAATAAATTGTGCCAATCATTTTCTTCAATTTAGATCCAAATCCCATATTTTCGACCTGTTGGATCAAGAACTGCCAAATTGTTGGGGGCAATAGGCTGACTCTGTAAACCGGTTAGAGAGGGCTGTAAAGCACTGTAAAGTGCTATATAAGTCTTAAGTGCTATTGCTATTGCTATTGCTAAACAATTTAATCCCCAGGTTACCTAACTTTAATTGACTTGACTTGATACTAGACCAAGCAAAGATAAAACCATTCTGAAAAAAAAATATCTCTGTTAATTGCACAATTGGATTATAAGTGACACCTAGAGGAAACAAGATAAAAGAAAGGGATGGTTTTCTTTCATGGGACAGAGAAGTGGTCCCTCCACCATTTACCTATATTCATGGTCTGCATGGCTTCTTTAAACATATCATTGCTGAATATGAGTGTCATAAGATTCTGGGTGTGCTTGTCCAAAGTGCAAGGTAGTATCTTTTGTTTAAATGACTTAATTCCATCCACATCGTCCACCTTGAAGACAAGAAGAATAGTTTGGGTCTGAATTCACACAATTCAGTTCCTCTAATGGAGCAGCATTAATCTGCAATGCACACTATAATACATGCTTTCCTCAGAATAATAAGATAATATTTTTTTCTGAGTAAATATGCATAAAATTGCATTGGTGAAACTCATATTGTTTCTCTTTCAACCCTGTCTCAAGATATCAAATGACTTTGTTTTTCCTCCATTTCACCAACAGGTACTCTGACTTACACATACTTTATTTTTATATATTTACCATTTTTATTAAAACTTTAAAAAAGAAAATACAAACTAATATAAAGAGGAAAAAAGAATTTGATATGATTTTATGCGTTCTATATAATGTCTCTGCTGTCGTATGCCAACAATACATCATTTTATAAAAATTCTCTTTGAGATCATAACACAATGCAAGCGTCAATACTTTTAACCACATATTTTCCCATTGACCTATCTGAATATTGTAACAAAGTTCTTAACCAGCTCCTACATTCTTAAACCTTCCTGTTTCAAATTCTAACAAACGTTGATGGATTTTATCAATTACATGTTCATTATCAACGCACAATTGTACTTCAAATTCTGTCTCGGTTTGCTACATGCCATTTGTCCATTTTAAATCTTTCTTTTGTAAATGGGGAAACTACACATAATCCTTGAGTTGTGACCGCAATTGAGCCCAACATTTATGTTGTTAAATGAAACATTTGTTAAAGGAGTTTGCCCCATTTTACGACTTTTCATGCCCCCAGTTGTTAAGTGAATCATTGCATTTGTTAAGTTAGTAACATGGTTGTTAAACTGAATCTGGCTTCCCCATTGACTTTGCTTGTCAGAAGGTCACAAAAGCTGATCACTTGATTCCAGGACACTGCAAGCATCATAAATATGAACTACCTGCCAAGCACCTGAATTCTGATCATGTGACCATGGGGATGCTGCAATGGTTGTAAGCACAAAGAACAGTCATAAGTCACTTTTTTCAGTGCTGTTGTAACGTTGAATGGTCAATAAATGAACTGTTGTAAGTCAAGGACTACATGTATTGACAACTATCTCTCTCTGCTGTTAATTGCTCTCTTGATCTAAGTTTGAATTACCCTTGATGGTTTTCTAAAAGTTCCCACTATGTCAATCATTTGCCTTTGTCTGCTGTTGTTCTTTTATAATATGTTTCTGGAGCTGAGATCTATAAAGGTGCTTTTGGGTTTATCTACTCCATACTCTCAATGTGGCAAATTCAATGAAATTGTTTTTGATATCTACATTAATTTCAATTTTATCATACCATATAATAGCAACGCACTCCAAGCCATAGGTTGTGATCTTCTAACTCTAAATCAAATAATAAGCAGTGAAATGCAATTTCAAAATCTACCAGTAGTAAACCCAATCCTCCTCTGCACTTTGTATCTTGTAACAGTTTATATTTAATTTTATATTTTAATTTTAACTAATATACAAAGTGACTCCTTTTTTTCCAATCCTGCTGAAATAAATTCTTCCCTCAAATTTTTGCAACTCAAATATTTGATATCTTTCTCTTAATATATAAAAAAAAGGTTTCTGCAGAGAGTTTAGTCTGAATCTCCTGTTTAAAAGTAGATCTCATCTCTTCCGACTTATCCTAGCTCAAAGGCATTTTCTTTTGTTTAGGTTTGTCAAAAAAAAATACTCTTTTCTCTTTTGTACTTAAAGAAATTCCAACTAGAATACTACAACTATATCTGTACTATCAATCCTCAATCTAGTATTACGGACAAAGTGGAAGTTTGAGAAAGTAAGATTAGAAAGTATTAATAGAGAAATGGAGAAAGAGTTGGATAACTTCACATTACTGGAACTGAGAGCAAAAGATTTTTTTCAGATTTACAGCAATTCTAGAACAACAGAGAGAAGATATTAGACAAAAGAGAGTTACGTTTCTGTTTAATTTTTTGAACTGGGAGCTAACACTGAGCAGAGATTGATCGAGTTTATCGTATTAATACACATTTTGCAAAATTAAGAAATGTTCCAAGGGATGTCCTTGTGCACTTTGTTAGGAAGAAGACCAGGTATCATCTTGCAATAGCACACGTTTCTTAGAAACCTGCAGATGTCCTGAGAAAATATTGCTGAACTGATTATTCTTTCCATCATTAAGCAAAGGTTCTGATTAAGCAAAGGTTCTGATCTCTTTTTTTACAGAAAATCATTGAGAAATCTATCCATACTTCCAGATCCACTTGCTTCGCAATGTATACTACTTAAAGTATACTCTTTGAACACTCACCTTTACTGTTACCTCTTGTTCCTCTTTATCTTCATGTTGTACTTCAATGAGGGTATACTTGCCATCATGCGCAATAAAATTCTCTCGGTTAGCCCATTTATTCTTTGTCTTCTCTTGAAATTTCTTCTCAAAAGCCTTCATGGCAGCTTCCAAGGTTGGACAACTGCTGAGTTTACATTGCCCTACTTCCCCCTGGAAAGTCACAGAACATTTGTTAGCCTTTATCAGGAAAGTGTTTCCAATATATGCTGATTTTTTAAAAATAAGTTATGATTGCCTCATCTGCCAGGTCTTACATTATTTTCCAGTTTTGAATACACCTGAACTTTAACCACAATTAGAATTGTCTAGAATGAAACCAGGCTTACTTGATAATATGGTTTTTCTAGCCTTAACATTTGAAGGCTTACCTTCATTTCATATTCATCCACTCTTTCCATCATAGTACTGACTTTTTCACTATCCCCTGTTCCTCTTCACTGAATATCAAAATAAATAAATGTACTAAGGCCTATAACAAGCCTTTTTCTTTTTCAAATTCACACACACCACACAAAAAGGAAAGAGATATTATGATAAATGCTGATAGAAATCAACTCTTTTCAAGCAGAGATTTTCTGTCAAGGTGATCTGGAAAATTAAAGCCTTATGTAAAATGAACTTTGGAGGAAAAGAAGGCAACTGTCCCAGTCACTAGCTGCAATCTCAGACTGAGTAGAAAAAAACCTAGGATCTCGGATCAGTAGGCCTATTTGATAAGTACAATCTGACCTCCTCCAAGAGATGAAGAAGAGAGACGGCTTTCAGAGACGAGGTCAAACAGTAGCAATCTGAATACAAGAACCTCCTGTGAATTAAAATATAAAGGGCTTCCAACTCAATTAAGCTAAGAGTAGATAAGCAGTGGAGAGCCAGCCTAATGGTTAAAGCACCAGGCTAGAAACCAGGAGACTGAGTTCTAGCCCTGCCTTAGATACAAAGCTATCTGGGTGACCTTGGGCCAAACACTTTCAGTCAGCCCTAGGAAGGAGGCAATGGCAAACCACTTCCAAAAGCTTGTCAAGGACACTGCAGGGACTTGTCCAGGCAATTGCCAGGAGTCAAACTGATGCCACACAAACAATAGAGAAGCAATCAATGCAGGAACATGAACAATTTTTTCTGTCCGCATTGCCAAAATAAAAACACAAATAACCAAACCATAGTGCTTACCAAGAACTTATGTGGGGAAATTCTGGCAAGGCACTAGAATCAGGCAAAAGCCAAATCTAGCAGTTTGGAATGAGGCATGATTCAAAACCCTTTTTATGGGCTGGGTTCAAGGATCTGGTCTGTGGTGTCTTTCTCCTTTTAGGTTTCTCGGTTGACTAATCAATTCCCAAGCTTTCTGCTCCTTGCCCGCTCATTCCATGTTACTTTTTATGTCAGGACTCTGCAGCTGCCTTTGGTTAGAGCTCTGTTTTCCTTTCCACCAACTGGAAGACTCTTAGGGTTTATCCTCACATCCCATTAACTGAGGCACAAAGACGCCTGGTTAGCTGTTTTCGGAGGAGATATCTTCATGGAATTGTGTCTGTTTCATCTCTACTTTGTTGTGAGGACAGTCAACATTCCTTTTTAGCTATTCTACTTGTACAATAGTGTTTTCCCTGCTTTTCCAAAAGAAGCTCATAAGAATGACCTGTGAGGCCTCACTGACAATGTTGGTGATGACATGGTCAGAACTACCACCTGCTATGGGCTATGTTAGGCTATGTTAGGCTATGTTAGGCACATCCCTTGCCATCTGTTGGGTGCTATTTTGGCATGGGTTATCACAGAGGTCAGACACGTGGCTTCCACAGATGCATCTGCCTGGATAATACTTTAAAATTTTACACAAGCTTTTCATACATTCAAATTTTTAAAATATACCTTTTAAACACATAGTTAGGGGTCTTCTGAAAGAGCACTAGATAATCAGCAAAAAGACAAGGTCGAAATAATTTAAATTGGAAAATAAAAACAGATTTTACAGCTGCATGTTGCTGTCAGGTTTTCCACGGCTTCTTCTGAAAAGAATTCTCATATACTGTAGCTGCATTTTCATCTGCCTAAGCTATTTCCATATGATGCTAGCTATAGCAACCCATTGCCAATCTCTTAAGATCATGGATTTGGGATGTATAGTAGCTAGGTGAAATTGATAAAGAGTTCTGTCTGTTTCCTCTTTTAGTGACAGGTCACAGATGCAGTGGACAGGTGCAGGGTGAAGTGGAAGATAGCCCATTGCTCCTCACAACCCCTTTAATCTACAAGTGACCTGTCACTCAATCTATTTTTGGACGTTATGTCTAGCAATCTACTGAAAAATAACTAAACCTGAATTCAAAGTGACAGGTTGGTAGAACATAGCAGAACATGAGGACTTCCGGTGGCATTTCTGTTGACGATAGTTCAGAGTCCGCGATCATGCGCGGCTCTGGCCCGTTTCCCTTGTTGGGAGGGTCCCTATGGGACCGGTGTCATTCTGACCCACCTCGGAGGGGTGGGCGAAGAGGGGGAGACTGCCAGCCGGGTTGAGGGGAGCCGCATCTCCCCTCCCTACCTAGGTATTACTCCCCTGGAAGACAGGGAGAAACGGCAGTCTAAAATGGCTTCCCTGAAGATGAAAAGCTGCAGGGACCTAAGTTTTGTGCTGGAGCGGTGAAGTGCTGAGCGAAGTGCAACCAGATAAAAGAGCTTGATTTTTTCTTAACAACCCCAAGAAGTAGAACGAAAGTGCCCTTGCGTAAGAGTAACACAGCGGCAAACAGGGAAAAAAAAGAGGAAAATACAAGGTAAACAAAATTGTTTATAAAAAGCTACAATGGAATCAGAGACCAAACTTTGAATAATATAAACTGGCATTAATTAGGCATTGGATTAAATGCTGGACTTGCCTGGAATTGGTTAATACTAAGAAAATTAATTGTGGAAAGGGTTGGAAATTAATGTTTAATATAATTAAAAGAGAAAAGAAAATAACTTTAAAAAGTGGAAAGTGATAGAGAGAGCCATCTAATGGTCAAAGACTTTTTTTTCCCTACAAAATTATATGGAAATTTACTGGACTTCTAATTGTTATGGAATAAAAGACAAATAAAATAATAAGAACCCCAGAAATTTGGGAAAAAGGGGGAGAAATTCTACCAAGAGGATATACAGATGCAACTTCCTGAGACTGTTGGGTATTGATTATGACAAAGAGACAGAAGGATTAACAAAAGAAATAAAGATAAAAGGAGACTTTTGGCAAGGATTGCAATAAAAGACTTTGAATATTAACAATTTATTATAAAAATGGAAGAAATAAGCAAAGACTTTAAGGGAGTTACAAATGGTAAAAGGAAAGTTCAAAGAAAGAAGGGAATTATTGGAAATACTGGAAAAGAAAGTAATAGCGATGGTTGCAGAACAAAGAAATTCCAGTGAGGCGGAGTTAAAGGAAGAAGAAAGAGGCTCAGACAAACATGGAGAACAAGAGACTTTGCCAAAAGACACTAAAGAAATTAAAACTTTGATATTGATGACAGACTTAACAAATAAAAGAGAAAATGCTCCCAGGATCAAACAAAAGAAGAAAAAATTCTACAAGAAGAAACTTCAAAAAAGAGAACAGGAAATGGGGGGAGAGAAGATGGGTGAAATGTTAGAAGGAAAGAAGGAAGACCAGGGAAATTTAGAAAAGGGTAAGTTGGCTAAAATTAAAATAAACAATAAAGCCTAAAAATTTAGAGATAACGGTTAGGGATTTTATAACGGGGATACCACATGGAGCATATATTGGTGTTTAATTTAAAACTTGTAGGGAAATACTTTAGGAATGAGTAATTACATATATGAATAATAACTGTATATAAAATGTGATGTTATGAACCCCTTTTTTGGAGGATCAAAACAAGGGAATGGAAATGAATTTTAAAAAAGATATGATTATTAACGATTATAAGTAAAGTGAAGATAAAATGAGAGATATTAAGAAGTTATTTTAGTGATTTATTGGAGGGGATATATACAGTTGACTGTACATACAGTTGATTATTTAATGGATATTAGAATTGTACAATGAGAATATTCTATTATGATTAAAGTAGGGGAATGGAAAAATACCATGTGGATCCTAAATATATTGGTTTTAGCTTTATTTTTACTCTTTTTAGATTGTTTATTATATATCAGCTTAGAGAAAGCTAAGGATAATAATGACATGTAATGTAAAATAAAATAGATGGAAAGGTGAAAATGGAAATAATAGGGGATAAAGATTTGAAAACTTATGTATGGATGAAATGATATTGATCTTGAATTAATGAATCGAAATATGAAATGCACACTTATTTAAAGATGAGTGAAATGTATAATGATATGAGTTAATATTATGTAAGATTAATGGAAATGAAAGTATGACTATGTACAAGTGTTATAACCTGGAAACATGTTGCTCACATGGAAAGATGCATAAAATTTAAAAAATAAAAAAACTTTTGGAAAAAAAAGAATACAGCAGAACATATCGGTAGAACATGGTAGACCATAATATTTTCAATTCACCTAACACTCTTCACTTACCTGATTGACCTTTTCATTTGGGCTACTTCTGAACATCGGCTTAATGTTTTTCCACAAGAATGCCAGACCCATATTCAGAAATAGCCTGAGTGACAGGGCATCGCACAGATAACTTCCAAGACCTGTCACTCAGTCAATTTGAAGGGTGGCTAAAACCTTCACTCCTAGGCACCTACCCATAGTTACCCAATTCCATCCCATAATATATTAAGAACAGCAGTTGCTGGTTGTTTCTCATACGGGCAGGTCAGGGGATAAGGTGGGTACCTAGGAGGGGAAATCTACCAACCACTGACTTAACTTGTCCTGCATTAAAACACGGTATTAATCCAAAGTCTTGTCACTAAAGCAGAATAGAGCTCAAGCACTGGGGCAGCACAACTTATTCCTGCATATTTTTCTTCTGACCCAAGGATATGAAGTCTGTATATTAAGGGGAAGAGGTCTCGGAAGAGCCCCGGATTATCTCCTTGTGTTTGCTTCCTTGTATTTTGTCTTTTTTGACTGGAAGAACCTATGCTCTATGATATACCTGGTAGGCTTAATTCTACTCACACATCTAATTATGGATCCTAATGAATGAATAGCAGGATCCCAACTGGGGATTCTCAAGTAAAGAGATGCTCTTTCAGAAAGCAGGTTAGAGATTTTGTAGTTTGATTTGAACTGGATCTAGAAATTTACTGCTAACCAGCATGGTTGACAAAGAACTGCTATAGATTGTGTTGGCCAAGCCCATCAAGGTAACCTGTTTTGAATAAACTGAAACATCTCATGCATTTTCAAATAGTGATACCAGTAAAATAATCTAAAGAGGAACTCACCAAATAGTCAATAACAACTGCAGGCCTGCTATTTCTGCCCATGAATAGCATATATTTGAGCCACTGTGAGAATGATCAGTTCCAGAAAATCCCCACGCTACATTTCTGATCCTGGTGAGAATGGATCTCCTTGAAGAACAGTGTTGAACCCTACTTATTTATTAAAAGCAATGAACCACTCATAAACAGCAGCATGGCTCACACATCACACTAAGCCAAAAATGTGAGTATGCACGAAGTAGTAATAAACTAGCTTGGCATTATGCATGAACTGGGCCACTATGATTTATGTAATAAAAAGCTGAAACAAACCATAGCTTAACACAACGTATTATCTATCTCCATCTTATCAAGATTGAATTTTAGCTTACTGGCTCTCATCCAGCTCATTCTATACTGTTTTTTTTTAATCTGTTATAATAAACATTGCTTTAGGTTAGACCAATAATTTGTGAAACAAGAATGCCTTACAATTTCCAGGAGAATTATTGAAATGACTGCTTGAGAAGCGGAACAGTTTTTACATATACATTAATATTTTATGTTTAATTTGGTCTCATGGGAAACGTCCTTCTTAAGTTTTGAACTATGGTTTAACTGTAAAAAAGATGCAATCAACACAGTGTAAACATGTACATGGGCTGCCATAAAGCATACACTATTGGAAGCATTAGCTAATTATTATTTTCTTGACTCTGACTTTTTGCTGCAGGCTCATAACCGCTGCTCTGATTGGCAACTAACTTGCTTGATTTTGTATTTTCACAGGAAAATTGCACAAAGAGCAAATACTTATTTGATTTTTCTTCTCTAAAATGAAATCTTATGAATAATAACAATGGTTATGCATACTGCTTGCAATGTCTGACCATAAGACTTCCAGATTAGGTTTTTATTGTTCGGCAGATTTTACAGGGAGGAAAGCAGGATCAACCTTCCACTTATAATCCTGCCACAACAGAAAACCCATTAAGGAAGGGAAGATGGAATTGTTATGTAATGACTTTATTTTTATTTATTTATTTGGTTTGTCAATTGCTTACAAGATAATAGGTATAAGTAAAAACATAGTTATGAATACATGGATACATATAAGAAAAATAAAAGAAACAATAGGACAGGGACGGTAGGCACATTGGTGCGCTTATGCACGCCCCCTACAGACCTCTTAGGAAAGGGGTGAGGTCAATAATAGACAGTTCAAGGTTAAAGTTTTTGGGGTTTGGGGAAGAAACCACAGAGTCAGGTAGAGTATTCCAGAAAAAGACCACTCTGTTGCTGAAGTCGTATTTCCTGCAATCAAGTTTGGTGCAGTTAACCTTGAGTTTGCATCTATTGTTTGCTCTTGTGTTGTTATGGTTGAAGCTGAAGTATTCTTACAATGCTAAGAGCTGTCCATTTGGAGACCAAGATTGCATGTCTCCTCCTGTGAAGGTATTGCGTGTTACAAGGAAATGCCTTTCTTTCTTGATATTCATATAGCAGCAATCACTACATTCAGCAAAGCAAATTGTCATTTGGGAAACACAGTTGTTCAACTAAGGTATATTTTATGAGGTTTCAGTAATTGCATGCTTTGTTCTGCAGTTAGGAATCATCGGGCATAATGAGGCCAATAATGCAAAAGCCATCTTAGGAAGAAGCTGCCTACCATGTCCCCTACTAAATCCCTTAACTGTTGAGAAACAAGGTACCAATCCTTCTGTTTATACAGACAAATTGTGATCAAGAGACTTACTACACGGCCCCAGCGGTTCCAGCAACTGTAGTTCCCATTTTGCTCTATCAGCTGGATGATGTAGAACTTGTTATTGTTGTAGCCAATGTTGGTTTGGTTCAGCATACAGTCATAGTCTTGGTAAATCTAAAGTGATAAAAGAGGAAGCAGGGAATATGAACATGCTGCTTTCAAAACACCCATAAACCTCTGCACTTCTGCCAAATTGTAGTTTTGGGCTTCAATTTTGGCCCTTTACCTACTGTATTTGGCTCAGGGCCATCCTTATATTTCAACCTATATCTGCATCGAAAAAATGGGAAGGGAAAGGGCATTGGTTCTTACCTATTGTCAGCCTTCAAGATCTTCCTCCTTTCCTTTGCTTCTTTCTGGCTGTCATGAGTAACGGGGGGGTGGAAGGGGGAAATGTATGGGCTGTGAGCTGAAAGTGTTACTAACTGATATTGTATAAACTGGAGAGGGTTTCTAATTCCTGCTTAGCTTTCTCTTCTCTGCACAACTGCAAACCTTTATCTGAGTAAGCCAAGGTCAACTAATCATCACCACCTGGAGATGTCCACATGATGAAGTTCACAACTTTTAATTGGAAGAACCGTTTGAACTATTGGGGGTGGGAACATTTCACTCCCTTGATATATGTGATGTACGTGCCTATTTCCCCAGATTCAGAATTCTCTCATTGCTACCACTTAACTTCCAGTAAAAGATACCTTTTCTCTAATTACAAGAGTCTAAGTATTTCTTTCTTGGATTTTGAACGGAGAACCAGCTGACATTATTCTGAATCTCACCTTACCAGCCCACCCGGAGAGATAATACAATTTCTTCCGAGGGGGTCTGAACATCATGTCAACTCCAGCCAGCGACCAAGAAGACCTGGGGCAACTGGAGGACAAGATTCTCTGCTGCTAGAGGAAGCACAGGAAGCTAAATTGGTAGCAGAGCTCAACCTTGGGAAAACCCCAGCTGTGAAACCCAAATGATCATTGGGAGTCGGCTGGAAGGACCCGGAGGAGCCCCCCCCCCGGAGTCACCACTACCCATCGGTGTGGAAGAGAGGAGCCATGGCAAGGGAGGGAAAGGAAAGACTTTTTACTGAACCAAGCCAGGCACTTCATCAATGAGGCCCTTGGAGAACCTCACGCTGCACAAAGGTATGAGGGAGAGGAGGGGGAGGCAGTCCCAGCCAGAAGAAGCAGAGCAGCCATCCCCATAAATCAACCTGGGCTAGCGCAACAGCAAGCAGCAGCCCCCAGCGGGAGGAGTAATTGCCAGAAGACGTAGAACTCCAAAGTTGCCTCCGTTGGAAGTAAAATATGGGGGGGGGGGGGATCCCAAAGAGTTGGGATTTTTCCTAGCACAAGTTTGGAGCTATATGGAGGAATACGGAGGGGATTTTTCCTCAGAAGCAGCCAAGGTTAGATGTGTTACCAGGGCTCTGGAGGGAACAGCTGCAAAGTGGATGGTGACTTTGCATAATGATAATGCTCCCCAGCTGTTGAATTATAACCTGTTCATGACTGCGCTGCGGGCAAGGTTTGAGGACCCACTGGCGGAACGTAAGGCCAGGATTAGGATGAAGACCATAAATCAGGGGCGGAGATCAGTGGCCGACTACACCCAGGAATTTAGAGAGCTGGCGTGTCATATTCGAGGCTGGTCCCAAGTAGCCCTGATAGAAGCTTTCAAAGATGGGTTAAATGATGATGTATACCAGAGCTGCATTGCCAGAAGAGACCCCAATGATCTGCAGATGTGGTACGTGCTGGCAGCAGAGGTGGAAATTGATTTAACCTGAAACAGACGCTGGGGAGGCTCTGGTTGGAGCAAGCCCTCCCCTGCACGTCCTCAAGAAGCCTTCAAACCCCAAAAGGGAGGACTCAAGACTCAAGACTACTGTTTGCTTCCGATGTGGGAAGGAAGGTCACCGGGCTGCAGACTGCTGGGCCAAGTTGGAACCAAAGGGGCGCCAAGAGGAGAAAAAAACCCCAGAAAAACCTCAGCGAAGCCTCGCGAAATGGCGCTTAAGACGGGGGAGGTTGTAGAGGACGCCCATCCAAAGGGAGAGGGGCTGGGAACTCTGACCTCCTCTGAAGAGAGTAACGTCGATTCGGAAGACGACTCATTGGTAAGTCCAAACAAGGGCCATTCCAGTGCAGTTAACGGTACCCGCATCGGGGGCCAAGGGGGAAAAGCTGGCCTTGCTAGACTCTGGGTGCACAAGGTGTGTGATCAGCCCGGAAGTAGTACGGAAGATGGGCTTAAAACTAAAACCTTTAAAAATGCCCATAGCCTTTTGCCAATTGGATGGATCAGTGGCGGGGGGCGGGCCTGCACGTTTCATAACGGAAACCTATAGAAATGACGATGGGGAAGCATAGCGAGACTCTGTGTTTTATTGTGGCCCCTGGGATGGAAGAGCCACTAATACTGGGATTTCCCTGGCTCCAGAAATGGAACCCCCATGTCAATTGGAGAAGAGGGTCATTGCATATACGTACCGACCAGCACCCGGAAGGGGAGGGGCGATCTCAACCGAAACTCCAGAATCCTATTGACCTAGCTTCCATGAGTACTGAAGACCTGAAGGGGGAGGAGAAAATTCCAGAGGAATATTGGGACTTAAAGGACGTATTCAGTGAGAAGGCCTCAGATGAGCTGCCCCCTCATCGTTCAACAGATTGTAGTATTGAATTTTTACCTGGGGTGAAACTCCCGAAACCGAAGCTGTACTCAATGACACCGCAGGAATTAGAAGAGCTGCGGTCATTTATCGATAAAAATTTGAAACGTGGCTTCATCCAGCCCGCTAGACCCCGGGTGGCAGCCCCAGTACTGTTCCGTGAAAAGAAAGATGGCTCCTTTTGCTTATGTGTTGATTACAGAAATCTGAACGCCATTTCTGTGGAAACGTGTACCCCCTCCCCCTGATGAAGGACATGCTGGCCCACCTGGCCAAGGGGAAGATTTTTACGAAGCTCGACTTGAGAGAAGCGTACTACCAGGTTCGAATTAAGGAAGGGGACAAATGGAAAACCGCTTTTAACTGCCCGATAGCTTGTTTCCAGTTCCGTGTTCTTCCATTTGGCCTACAGGGGGCTCCAGCAGTATTCATGCAGATGATTAATCAGGTTTTACATGAACATTTATACAAGGGGGTTTTGGTCTACCTTGATGATATCCTTATATACACAGAGACTTGGGATGAACATGTGAAACTGGTGCGGTCAGTCTTAAAGAAACTCCGAGCCGCTAAGTTGTATGCTAAATTGTCCAAATGTGAGTTCCATCAGGAGAAAATTGACTATTTGGGGTATCACATCTCACATGAGGGCATAGAAATGGATCCAGGGAAGGTGCGTGCCGTGTTGGAATGCCCCCCCCCCACGCACCAGAAAACAACTTCAGAGTTTCTTGGGATTCGCCAATTTTTACTGACAATTTATCCCGGCTTTTGCAAATATAGCACTGCCTATCACAAACCTCCTAAAAACCAAAGGGGAGGCGAAACCAAAGCCTAGTAAGCCACTGGAGTGGTTCATGGAATGTCAAGCGGCCTTTGAAAAGCTGAAACGACTGTTTGCTGCTGAACCAGTGCTAAAGCACCCGGACATGGACACTCCTTTCGTAATCCAGGCCGATGCGAGTGATGTGGTGGTGGGAGCTGTATTGCTGCAAATCAATGAGAAGGGGATTTTACAACCCTGTGCATATACCTCCCATAAATTATCTGAAACCGAAAGAAGGTGGGCAGTGTGGGAAAAAGAAGCTTTTGCAGTTCGTTGGGCCCTACTCACTTGGAGACATTTCTTGGAAGGAGCAAAACACCCGTTTGAAGTGTGGACCGACCATAAGAATTTAGAGGCCTTAAAAACACCTCGGAAGCTGTCCCCCAAACAAGTTCGCTGGGCTCAGTACTTTAAACGGTTTAATTTTTCATTGAAGTACATTCCAGGGGGGAGGAACTTCATGGCAGGTGTTCGCCAGGAAGTAGTACAGCCGATTGTCCCAATCGAACAGTTGGCAGCTCCAGTAGTTACTAGAGCCCAAAAGAAGAAGAAGGAAGTGGATCTATCGAATGATTTGACTGCGCAATTAAAGGATGCTCTAAAACTCGATGATTGGTTCCTGGCTCATTCGAATAACCGTACAGTTAGAGATGGACTGGCCTGGGTGGGAGCCAAGTTGTATGTGCCAGAGAAACTGAGGAGCCAAATCTTACAACAAGCTCATGATTCTAAAGCGGCTGGTCACTTTGGATTCATGAAAACCTTACACCTAGTTAAGCGGCAATTCTGGTGGCCTACTTTAAAGAAGGACATTGAAACTTATGTGGCTAGCTGTTCTATTTGTGCATCAGCCAAGAGACTTCCTGGTAAGCCAGCAGGGTTGTTACAAAATGTGGCTAGACCAACGGCTCTGTGGAAGGAAATTTCTATGGACTTTATAGTGGAATTACCCGAAAGCGGGGGAAACACAGTTATTTGGGTGGTAACTGATTTGTTTTCCAAGCAAGTACATTTCATACCTTGTTCAAAGATTCCATCTGCAAAAACGTTGGCTAAACTGTTTATATTGCATATCTATAGATTACATGGGGTTCCTGAACGCATAATCTCTGACAGGGGTGTTCAATTTACCTTGAACTTTTGGAGGGAGTTCCTGAAGTTATTGGGCTCCGCCCAGGGATTAAGCTCCACCCACCATCCCCAAACCAATGGGGCCTGTGAGAGAACTAACGCGGTATTGGAGCAGTACCTTAGATGTTACATAAACTATCAGCAAGATAATTGGACTGACCTATTACCATTTGCTGAAGTGGCATATAACAATTCTATCCATAGTAGTACTGGATTTACCCCCTTCAAGGTGGCATCGGGACAAGACTTTGTACCCATACCTTAACTCCCTTGTGAGAGGCCTAGTATTCAGTCATTAGATGAATGGATAACACAACTCCAGCTTAATTGGCCAGTCGCTCATAAAGCATTGGATGACGCACATCGGGCTCATAAGAAATTTGCAGACAAAAAGAGGACTCCACAAAACCCATATCAAGTGGGCGATAAAGTCTTTTTGTCCACCAGATATCCACAAACCACTCAAAAGTCAAAGAAACTTGGTCC